AGAAAAAAATAAAGCTCTGACTTCACACCAAGCACTTTCCATTCCGGAGCCTTATACTTACTACTAGAGGCGCATTGCATGAAGAGATTCATGCAATAGGCCTTTCTTCCCCTGGCTGCCGGCATCAGTTTTCCTCCAGCACCCAGGACCCAGGCCTTCGCTCTGGCCACAGCCCAGAAGCCAAGCCTCTTCAGTCTTCAGTTGTCTTCAGTCTTCGCTTGGGCAGAGCCTTTAGTCTTCACTCCATGCCTACATATGCAAATTAAACGCCATCTTTGTTGGGTTAATTTGCATACTCATCCTGATTGGCTGGTGGGCGTAGCAGAGTGACACCAATTTGCATGTTTCTCTTTTATTAGTGTAGACTAGAGGCCTGTGCCCTCTCACAGTCTGGGACCCCTCGGGGGATGACCACCTGCTGGCTTAGGCCTGCTCCCCAGGGAATTGGGCCTAAGCTGGCAATCAGACATCCCTCTGGCAGCCCGGGAGCCCTTGCGGGATGTCCACTTGCCAGCGGGGAACAGGCCTAAGCTGCAGTCGGACATCCTTAGTGCTGCTGAGGAGGCGTGAGAGGTTCCCACCACCACTGCTGTACTGGCAGCCATCAGCCTGGCTTGTGGCTGAGCAGAGCTCCCCCTGTGGGAGCGCACTGACCACCAGGGGGCATCTCTTGCATTGAGCGTCTGCCCCCTGGGGGTCAGTGTGTGTCATAGTGACCAGTCATTCCCAGTGGTTCTGCTGTTAGGGTCAATTTGCATATTACCCTTTTATTATATAGGATAGAGGCCTGGTGCACGGGTGGGGGCCGGCCGGTTTGCCCTGAAGGGTGTCCCGGATCAGGGTGGGGGTCCCGCTGGGGTGCCTGGCCAGCCTGGGTGAGGGGCTGAGGGCCGTTTTCAGGCTGGCCAATCCCCCCGGCCACAGAAGCTCCCAGCCTCTACCTTTTTTCTTTTTTTTTTTTATTCTGGGTTTTATTTACTTTCTATAATTGAAACTTTGTTGCCTTCAGTGGAGCTCAATGCCGGCCGGGAAGCTTGTCTTCCTCCATCACTGGAGCAACCAAGCCTCCTGCTCGCTCCAGCTCCGTGGCTGCCGGCCGCCATCTTGGTTGGGTTAATTTGCATATAGACACTCTGATTGGCTGATGGGCGTGGCTTAAGGCGTAGCAAAGGTATGGTCAATTTGCATGTTTGTCTTTTATTAGATTAGATTCCCTCTGCTTGGGCAGACACTCATTTCCCAGATAGTTTTCTCCATTTAGGTCTCTACTCAGATATAAACACCTCAGAGAGGCCGTTGGTGAACATCTTATGTAAAGTATCCCAACCTCTTCCCCGTCCTTTCCCTTTTAGTCACTCTCTGGTCCCTTTCTCAGTTTTATATTCTTCATGGCATTTGTAATGATTTCCTGGCACTGCCTGTTTGCTTTGTCTCCTGTCTAGAATGTCAGCTTCCTGAGGGCAGGGACTGTCTCTCTCTCACCCAGTGTTTCCTCCCCAGTGCTTAGGTCAGTGCCTGAAATGTAGTAGTAACTCGGTGTATGTTTGTTAAATGATTTAGTTATTTGCTTTGAAGCTTTTCTTTTGAATACATTTCCCAGGTTTAGCTTATAGGATCCCCTTCAACTGGCCTTTCTATGACCATTTGACCTGTCTCATCATTTTTTGAACATTTTCTTCTTGACAAGCAAGTAGTCCAGGCTCATCTTGTACTTTCCTTGCCCTAACCTCCAGATTAGCTCTTTTCCAAAGAACTCTATTTTTTAGTGAATAATGGTATTTAGAAGCCACAATCTGGATGCTAGGTATGTTCATTGGTATTTGGATGTTTGTTCCTCAAGTAATAGAGTTAGGGTGTGTGTGTGTGCGTGCGAGCGCAGATATATTCCCCACTTACGCACAAGGGATATGTTCCAAAATTCCTGAAACCATGGAGAGTGCCAAACCCTATAAATTCTATGTCTTTTCCTAGATACACTTTTTCACTTAACCCATGTACTTTACGGCTTCTCTTTAGCATGTTGGAATTGCTAACATCACTAACCTGTGCTTTGGGGCCATTATTAAGTAAAATAAGGGTTACTTGAACCCAAGCACTGTGCTACAATGACAGTCGATCTGATTACTGAGGCAGCTACTAAGTGATTATTAACATGCAGGTAGCTCAGAGTATATTAAAAAAAAAAACAAAACAGGAGTTCATGCCAATAATTAATTCTGACCCAACTCCACAGGGTGCATTCTCTCTTTTCATTTTGGTAACTCCTTTTGCAATAGTGAGAAACCTAACTTTCACTGTCCTTAATATATTTATTTAATTTTCTTATTTTATTTTTTTTACAGAGAACATTTTATTTTTTTGCTCTTCACCATTAATCCCCTCTGTACCTTCAACTATATTTATTTATTGATCAGACACCCTTTGTGTAACCAATCCTGCATCACCACCACCCAGATGCCTTCCCTGCATGGATGCCTTCTTCACCCTGCTTGGGCTCTGCCTCAGCATTGGGATATTTTAAAGCTCCCCAAACAATGCTAATGTGCAGCTAAAATAGAGTACAACTCAGTTAGAAAAAAGTGAACCCCACACTATGTGATCCTTTATTAAGTGAATGGCAGGTTTTTAATTCAGGTTTGGTTTTAGAAAATAAATTCTTCCGAAGGAAGTGAAATTTAAAGAGAAGACTCAATTCTACCAGTATACACAGTAAAAGATCAGAGTGAAAGCACAGCCTGTCTCCTGGAAAGCTTTGTAAAATATTTGTTTTGGAAGTAAATCTGCTTGTAGTGAACATGAATTTCAATTCCTTTCCCTAAATTACCTGTTCATAGGAAAAACTACTTGAAAAGGTTAGTTGTTTTTTAAGAATGTGTCTCATTAAAGACTTACCGCTTCTTTTACATTGCATTTTATAAATGAACTTTTAATTTTAGAGTAGATTTAGAAAAATGCAACTTAATACTTTTTAAAGCATCGTTTGTTTAAGTAGGAGATATTCATGCTGTGTTTGCTCTTTCTCAGTAATCAGTTGCACTTTAAAATATGAAAACCAAGTTATAGTATCTGAGTCACAAGGAACCCGATCTTCTTCCACTCGCATCTAGAGGAAGCAAGAGGCTCTAGGAACCAAATACAACAGGATCTGTGGTCAGCCTGCCTTAGGTGGTCAACATCCATCTTGCCAGTTTTTGTAACTCCATTTTCTTAATGCATGGCTGCGAGTGGGTTTTCACCAAGAGCTCCACACTGAGATTGATGTACACATAATCTGACTCCAAAGAAATCCAGCTCTAAACCTAAGAAATTTCAATAAAATCTCTTTCATGATTGTAGTTTTAAAGTTTTCATGGAAGTTACCTGTAGAGTGTGAATTGTGCACATTAGGCTTTTGTATATTTATGATGTTATACAAGGAGAAAATGTGAATGTGGGCAGAGCCACTGAAAACTTGACATCTAGGTAAAACATTTTTTTTCTGTTGTTGCTGTTTGATTTATGTAAGTACAGCATTAATTACATATTCATGAGAGCTCACTTGGGGTTGGTCCTCAGTTCCTTCTGTATGGGTAAAGTGATTTCCACTCCCCAAACTTGAGTCCTTCAGGAACCATCTTTGTGATTTTTGCCACATGTGCAAACTTTTACCTTAACATTTCTCTTTAATTTATCTGACTTTTAGCTTTTTCCTAGATAATATCTGTGAAACCATGGATTTGATGTGTTGATCCCCTAAAATCACCAGTACTGTTCAGTACTTGGGGACCTGGGAACTACCGGTATATCTCCAACTTGCCTTCAAATTCTGAAATTCAATAAACAAGCATCTGGGGTCTCCTGACTTGAACTTTGAAGTTGCAACAGTGGTTGCTTATGCAATTTTCCCAGTTGACACATAATAGTGAAAGTTGGCATATCTATACTAATAATAGGGTAATACGCTAATTAGACCGGGTAAACCGGACATCTTCCAGTCATCCGGTCCTCCTTTTGGACAAATCCATGATGGCGGGGACCGAGGCAGAGGCGGTTAGGGGCTATCATGCTAGCAGGGGAGCAGTTAGAGGTGATCAGGCCAGCAAGGGAAAGCAGTTAGGGGTGATCAGGCCAGCAGGGTAGGGCAGTTAGAGGTGATCAGGCTGGCAGGCAGAGGCGGTTAGGAGCCAGCAGTCCCGGATTGCAAGAGTTGCAGGCCGGGCTGAAGGACCCCCCCCCCCCCCGTTCCTGTGCATGAATTTCGTGCACCGGGCCTCTAATATATATAAAATATTACATTAGAATACATGTTGGGTTATATTCTGTAATATATTAGAATAAATACTAAATTTTAAAGTTACTTTTCAAATAGGAGGTATAAATTACATTATCTTAGTTTCTTAAGATTCATCACATTTCTTTAACTAGGATGTTTATTATTATGTATCATTTTTATTTTAATTGAGGAGAGCAAAACCTGATTGTCTTGTTTCAGGTGTGCCAGGAAGAGGCCCGGTGCACAAACTGTGAACTCACCCAATAAAAAGTACCTGATATATAGGACACTCAGCCTTAAAAACACAAGATATATGACATAGAGTATTATGTTAATCACTCTGAAAATGTTTTGGGAAACATCTAAATTATAAATACCTTTGTGCCATAATTGAATTAATATAGTCTATGTTATTTGTGAAGAATATTGCCAGAAGAAGCCAATTGGATATTGTCATATATTCACATCACGTTCTTTGATGAGTGGAAATACATGAATCGTGTGTGTGTGTGTTCTTTTAGGAAGATCTCCAAAAAACTCACTTTAGTGGACTTCTTTGAAGCCAAACTTAATGTCATGTTTTGCAAAAGGGGCAACAAATCAAAATTAGGGATAACTAAATGTGGTTTTTGCATTCTCTCAGTTTAAATAAAATACAGTGTTCTACTCAGTCACAGAGATGAATTGTTGCATTACACACCATCTACAAGCAGATATTTAACTTTCTGGTCTGACATTACTTTAACAGAGAGAAGGAGCAAGAAAGGGAAGAACAGTTAATGGAAGACAAGAAAAGGAAGAAAGAGGATAAAAAGAAAAAAGAAGCCACTCAGAAGGTGGGTTTATTCAGTTAAGTCTATTAAATAATACTTCAGCTGATTTTATTAAAACAGCAGTAAACAATACAGTAAACCTTCGATATAATGGGCTAATTTGGACAAGGGTGTGTCCACTAAAGTCAAAAGTCTGTTATATAATAAAGTTGGTTTTCTGAATGCGTATGTTAAAAATTTGACAAATTAGTTTACATGTTTTTACTTATGTAGACACATTTGTGTAATTAAAATTAAGTATGCATGAAAAGTTTAATTTCACAGAAAAGTTTTCTATATGTATTACAGTAATTTTAAATTTTTACTGAATAGGTCTAGTAATGCATGCATTCATTAGTCACCACAAATAAACAAATGCACACAGCTGAGGTGTGGCCTAGCACAGGTCTGAACATCAGCAGGCTCAAGTTAAACTGCTACAGAGGAAGCCAGCTTATCTCAGATGCCTAAGCCTGGGCCAATCAACTGTGCCAGGAAACAAGTTAGAATAAGGCAGCTCTGAACGGCACATCTTGAATGAAGCTGCAGCAAAGGGAGGTATAGAGAGTTAGGGGTACTAGACACACAGTCCCGTGAGGGCCCATGATCTTTTCTTTTGTAGTTAATCTTTAATACTAGCTAAAGAGATATCACAACAAGAAATTGCAAAGCCTAATTCAAAGTTCTGGCCATTTTAATAAGCTGCTATGTAATCTGACTAATCAATACAGCCATTTGACAATTGAAACATACCAGATGAGCTCCAAAAACATCACCTTTGTGATGCCAAACTCAGTCTTCCTCCTCCTCTAGATTTGGTTTATAGAGTGAAGCTATGTCCTAAAGTTCTTTTTTTATACAGTGGGGCCTTGACTTAAGAGTTTAATTCATTCCGTGATGGAGCTCATAACTCAGATTACTCGTATGTCAAATCAAAAAGGAACGAGTGAAGACACGTGATGCTGGGCTGATGTTGTGGCGTTCACTGTGACGTTCGCTGCGCCAGCTAGCGGTGGGGTATCTGAAGCTGGCTCGTAACCCGAATTTTAGCTCGCAACTCAAAGCAAAAAATCGGCCGAGAGACGGCTTGTATCTCGAAAAACTCGTTAGTCGGGACACTTGTAAGTCAAGGCCCCACTGTAATTACAGTAGAGGCCTGGTGCACAAAAATTTGTGCACTGGGGGGGGGGCCCCTTGTCCCTCAGCCCGGCCTGTGCCCTCTCGCAGTCTGGGACCCCTCGGGGGATGTCCACCTGCTGGCTTAGGCCCGATCCCCAGGGGAGATCGGGACTAAGCTGGCAGACATCCCTCTGGCAGCCTGGGAGCCCTCAGGGTATGTCCACTTGCCAGCGGGGAGCAGGCCTAAGCTGCAATCGGACATCCTTAGCGCTGCTGAGGAGGCTGGTGAGGCTCCCGCCACCACCGCTGTGCTGGCAGCCGTCAGCCTGGCTTGTGGCTGAGCAGAGCTCCCCCTGTGGGAGCACACTGACCACCAGGGGTCATCTCCTGCATTGAGCGTCTGCCCCCAGTGGTCAGTGTGTGTCATAGTGACCAGTCATTCCCAGTGGTTCTGCTGTTAGGGTCAATTTGCATATTACCCTTTTATTATATAGGATAGAGGTCTGGTGCACAGGCGGGGGCGGGCTGGTTTGCCCTGAAGGGTGTCCTGGATCAGGGTGGGGGTCCTGCTGGGGTGCCTGGCCAGCCTGAGTGAGGGGCTGATGGCTGTTTGCAGGCTGGTCAAGCCCCCCACTGGAGACCCTCACCCCATGGGGTTTTGGCCAGCTTGGATGAGGGGCTGAGGGCTGTTTTCAGGCTGGCCACAGCCCCTTCATGGTGGGGGGCCCTACTGGGGTGCCTGGCCAGCCTGGGTGAGGGGCTGAGGGCCGTTTTCAGGCTGGCCACGGCCGTGGGCTGGAAGCAGGTATCTGGGATTTATCTTCTATAATTGAAACTTTGTAGCCTTGAGC